CACATAAGGTAACACTATAATAAATCAAATCAAAAACCACAAACATATTAAACCAAAGGTATATATGTTACACACTCCAAACAATTTTCCTTTAAAATGTTTAAATTTTAGTTGCTATAAAACATATATATATATATATATATATTCTTTATCAAAATTTAAATTAATAATGTTTTAAAATAAATGCTTCCAACTGATCTCAAACTTATCATTCTGCACAATTTAAAGATTAAATGAGTTTAAAATCAATCCAATTATATTTATTTTAAATTTTAAAAAAAGGGGAATAACACCTTAGTGGAAGCAGAATCAAAATTTGGGAGATGACCCTCAAATATTTTAAATAACCTTCATTTGGAATGTGGGTTGTTAACTTTTTAACTTTTTTATTTTTTTAATTTGAGGCTAAAAAACCTCGTTTGGAATAGGTTTTTTTATTTTTATGACTTTTGTGAGAGAAAAAATAAAATGATTATGGTTTGGATGTGACATTTTGTCTCATTAGGCTAAAAAGTCAATTTTGTCTTGTTGTAACTAAAATAGCCCCAACCCAACCCAACCCAACCCAAACCTAAACCTTCATGCCAAACATAGCCTTAGTAGTAAAAGTAGTAAAGGTCTAGGGATTTTTTTGTTTTTTTTTTGGTTTGGAGTTAAGGTACCTCACCATTTTAATTATATTGGAGTCTTGTTTGGGAAGTATGCTATTTTTGTTCGCTATTTGATTTTTTAATTATTTTAGCCTAAATAATAATGTTTGGGAAAATAGTTGATTTTTTTTAATAGTTGATTTGATAGTTGTGAGAGAAAAAGTGAAATGATTATGAATTGGATATGACATTTTTTTTATTCACTATTTTAACATATTTTGTCTTTTAGTGAGCTATTTTAGGGGTAATTTTATTTCCACACGTTAATTATTCTCAGTACACACACTTAATGAACACATTCTCAATAAAAATATTATAAAAATATAAATTCTCAGTACACATCTCTATATTCCAATATTACCTTCATTTTCATTTTTAAAACCTTAAGGCTATGTTTGGTTTCGATTTTTTTTTTTTTTTTTTTTTTTTTTGAAATTTTTCTATGAAAAAAATAAATTAATGTGATAAAAATAAATACCAAAAAAAAAATTTTTTTGCCCCTAAAAAGATAAAATCATATTAAAATAAGAAGTTTTATTTATTTATTTTTAAAACATATTCTAAAATTGAACTAACAGAGCTTAATTTTTTTTTCCATTCTTCTACTTCTCCTTTATTGTTGTTGCTGCCAGTCAACCTTAAGTGATTTGTGGTGGTAGATTTGTGAGTGAATGGTTCATGACGAAAAATAATCGCATGCGAAGAGGGAAAGAAGTTATGGGAGAGGATGGCAGATGAGAGTGGTGGCACTGGCGATAAAGGATGATTGTAGTGTTTCAGAATTAGGGTTTGGATAGAAGAAGAAGAAGAAGAGGGCATTATGGTATTTTTATTCTAAGATAAAATTGTATTAATGAAATTTTTCATTAAACGTGTGAACTGAGAAGAATTAGTGTGTGAAAATAGAATTACTTCTATTTTAGGCCAACTCTCTTCTCAAAAAAATACCAACTTTACCTTTTAATGACACGTATTTGGTTTTTCCCTTCTTCTCTTTCAGATATACTTTCTCTTTTTTTTTCTCTCCCTTAAAGAAATTTGAAGACAACGACGCACCTCTGAAGTACCAGTGCATAACCCTAATGACCGATGTCACAAGCATCATTGGTAGCAGCTTCGCCGAGATTCTTCCTCTCTCAAACACCCCCAGTGGCCCTTGGAAAGTCTACGGCATCTCTCACTGCCCTCGTCCGCCATGGAACACCGACCACCCCCATTAAATACATCTAGTGCAATATCTCCAACTCCGATGACACCCAAACCAAGCTCTTAATCCTTAATGATGTCACTTACCTTTTCTACATCACTTGGACCAATTGATCTTTCGAGAATCATGAAGCCAATGGATCTATGTTTGAAAACATTCTCAATTCAGTGATCCCAAACACCGCAAATCTCTAATACATCTTTCTTCAAATGGATCAAAATATTACATCAATCTGTTCAATCTCATCAGAGGAAAATCTCAATCTAATGATCCTTCATTTACTGAAGATCTTCCCCGATTGGCATCTTTGAATTTCTACTACACTATCAAAGATATGCTCTTCAACGAGGCTTTGAACAAAGAGGAATTGACGTAGTCTGTTCGCTTATGTTGTGTTTAGTTAGGGGATTTGGGAAGAGATTTGGAAAGGGAAAGGGAAAAGGTGTGATACTAGGTGAAATGTAAATACATTTTATATATTTTGTTTACATTTAACCTAGCTTTTCTTTTTCCCTTTCCGATTCCCTTTCCAAATCTCCCAACAAACACAGCACTAGAGAAATTTCATAATTGCTCAGAGAAAATTTTCAATTTTCAATTTTCAATTTTGTGAGAGAATTTTTAGAATTGCTTAGAAAAATTTTTGAATTTTCACTCAGAGAAATTTATGAAATTTCAAAAAAATTTACCTGGGGCCAAGGGGTTTGGTTTTATTTTGAGTTTGCGTGCCCCATATCTTTCTTTCTTTCTTTGCTCTCTTCATAACCCCTCAATGTCACTTTCTTCCTCTCTCTCCATCCTTCAATGAAATTTCTCTCACTAAAAGTCAAAAAAAATTCATTGATGGTAGATAGTCAACTCAGTAAAATTTTGTCAATATTTTTTTTTAGAATTTTATATTCATCATTAATTTTATTTGATAGTTCTCAACGAGAACATTTTAAAAATATAAATTTTATTAAAAATGGATATCTAAATCAAAAGTTATAGAATTTTAAAGTTTTAAAATTTTTCAAAAGTGAAAGGCGTTGAATACTGAAACAATGTGTATCGTTTAGCACTAAAATTGAATAAGGGTATTTTTGTCTGAAAATTGCTCCCCACATTTTCTAGAAGAGTGATTCTATTTACACCACCAATCTAACTCCTTACACCCTCAAATTTTTTTTTTATTTTATATTTTTTAATTTATACAATTCATTTATTATCCTCATCTCTAACATTTCTGCTTCTCCTTCTCTTTACACCCAAAACCTCCAAAAAACCCTAACCCTAGTTCTCCCCAGCACCTTCACCAACCCACTACCAGCGTTGCCACTCCGCCACTACTCCACCACCTTTCCTATTTTTCCTTCTCTTTTTCTCACTGCATATATATACATCTAGAGCTTCTCTTTCTTACTGCACCTATTGCAAACTAGCAACAATTACCAATGGGTTATGAAAACAATCTTCAAGTCTTCTCTCTCTCTCTCTCTCTCTCTCTCTCTCTCTCTCTCTCTCTCTCTCTCTCTTTAATTCTCTCTTATCTGTGGAAAATCAGCCGCAATGCTCTGCTTCGGAGCACCTTCTCACCGCTGCCTGGCACACATGCCAGTTCTCCATCCATAACAGTCTGACAGCTTCGTTCACTGGATTCACAGTCCTTCCACACGCTTCAAACAAAAGAGACTGAAACAGAGTTGTATATAAAGATCACAAAATCCCCATCATCAGAATCAAAACGATATACAAATACTTATATATATATATATATATATAAAGAGGGAGAGAGAAGAAATTACCAGGTCATTGGATTCGGATGCGAAGTCGAAGAGGATTGTCTGTGAGATGAGACAGAGGAAGAAATTACTAGGGTTAGGGTTTGGGTTTTTAAGGTTTTGGGTGTAAAGAGAAGGAGAAGCAGAAATGTTAGAGATGAGGATAATAAATGAATTGTATAAATTAAAAAATATAAAATAAAAAAAAAATTTGAGGGTGTAAGGAGTTAGATTGGTGGTGTAAATAGAATCACTCTTCTAGAAAATGTGGGGAGCAATTTTCAGACAAAAATACCCTTATTCAATTTTAGTGCTAAACGATACACATTGTTTCAGTATTCAACGCCTTTCACTTTTGAAAAATTTTATAAATTCTTAGAAAATCATTAGAAATTTTTTTGTGAATTACTCAGTAAATTATGAGTAAATTACTTTGTAGATTTAGTTTAAAATTTGTATAAATTCTCTCCAGTGTTCTCCTCGGTATTGCCTTCTATAGACTCATCTTCAGTGTCTGACTCAATCACAATAACCTCCGGGGGGTTGTATATTGGTACAACTTCTTCAACTTCTTCAGACTTAGGTTCAGGCTCAAGTTCAGGATCAGGTTCAGGGTCAAGCTCAGGCTCAGATTCATAGTCTTCTATAGGCATTTCCACGTCTTCACTTGGGTCGGATTCTATGTCATAGTTTTCCACTGAATTTTCCTCGTTAGAGTTAATGTCTGATGACCCTGGCATCCTACAAATAAAAAGGTTCTAACTTAGTTAGGTCACCGAGAATTACAATTTAACTTAAGGTTTTCTTAATTGTAAAAATAATAAACTACTACCCATGGCCCAAAGGTTCAAACCTAGGCTCTGATACCACGCTGTGACGCCCCAAAAAAAAATTTTTTTTTTTTTTAAAACTCATCTCCCAAATGCAAACCAAACAAAAAAAATTTTTCCCCCAAAAAAAAAAAAAAAAAAAAAATTTTTCCCTTTTTTTTTTTTTTTTTTTTTTGCAGGAGAAATAGACTATCACGTGTCCTTGGGTCCTCGTTTCATAATTTTCCCAAAGTGGGTAGCTCATGTTTTTAGAAAACCATTATGAAAATTGTGTAATGCAAATATTCATAATCCTGAACTAAGTTTTTCCTGCCCTGCCACAGTCACAGGCCAAGGAAGCTTCCTCATAAAGTGAAAATTTCAGTAATACACACAAAAATGGCTCATGGGTGCACTTAGTAGCAGCAGAGGACATTTTTGGTTTAGGATATGGATGCGCCAATGGCATGAGAAAGGAAGAGAGAGAGAATGAAACTGACACTAATACCAAACCAAGTATTATATATACAGTTGCTTTGCATTTGTTGTTTTTGTCTGAGTTGTTTGTTAAACCATGGGAGTTGTAAAGTTACAATTGGCTCTTCTCTTCTTGTTTGTTTTCATTCCTGTGTATGGGCAAGAACTTGGTTTCTTTGAATTGACATTGACTTGGCCAAATGGTTTTTGCGTGCCAAGAAAGTGTCGTGATCACATCCCTCAAGACTTCACACTACATGGTTTTTGGCCTTACTGGCAGAATGGTACGCTAGCTACTTATTGCCCACCAATCCATGAACTAAAGAGAAAAGATGTAAGTCCACATGTCAAATTTCTTTTGAATTTTGTTTTTTAGCTTCAAATTTGAACTTTTATGTTTATTGTTTGTTGGATGGTATAATGTCTTTTTGTAGGTGGAGGGTATTCGAGGTTCACTTTCAACCCATTGGCCAAATCTCCTAGACAGCGAAGCTAACGGTTACAAAAACGAGTTTCAAGCTGATTTTGCATTTTGGGAGCAACAATGGACAAAACATGGCACTTGTTCAAAACTGGACCCTAAGAGATATTTTTCCATCGCCATGAACCTTAAAAATGTTAGGATATACCTCCTTATTGGAGTGTGGGACCCAATTGGTTTATTAAAAGAGTTTTAATTTGACTTGGTTTAGTATAATATATTTTTATATATTATATTTGAGGAGACCCAATTCAATTTGGATACAATTAGGATTTAATTATAAAAATCCAAGATTCACAACATATATAATATATATATGGCTTAAGTTTTTTTTGGGGAAAAAAATCAGAGAGTAACAGTAGCGATTCCTTTTTCGGTGAGTGTGCTTAGTATATCAATCAATTTGATGGAATTTGCTTTGGGGAAGCTACAGTTTTGATTTGGTGCTGCCGCGGCTAATTGATTTCGGGTTAATCAATTCGGTGTTGATTTGTTTGATCATTATTTAGTTTGTTGATTTGGTTCGTTATTTTGGATCTTCTACAACTCTGGTTCATTAAAAGAGTTTTAATTTGGCTTGGTTTAGTATAATATATTTTTATATATTATATTTGAGGAGACCCAATTCAATTTAGATACAATTAGGATTTAATTATAAAAATCCAAGATTCACAACATATATAATATATATATATAGCTTAAGTTTTTTTTGGGGAAAAAAATCAGAGAGTAA